GTGGCAACTCATTCCTGTAATCCCAGCACTTTGGGAGGCCAAGGAGGGAGGATCGCTTGAGCCCAGGCGTTCGAGACAAGCCTGGGAAACATAGAAAGACCTCATCTCTACAAAAAAAAAAAAAAAAAAAAAAAAAAAAAAAAAAAAAAAATTTAAGTTATCCAGATGTGGTGCTGTGCTCCTGTGACCAGAGCTGCTCGGGAGCCTAAGGTGGGAGGGTACCTTGAGCCCAGGAGGTTAAAGCGGCTGCAGTGAGCCACAATCATGCCACCACACTCCAGCCTGGGTGACAGGGCAAGACCCTATCTCAAACACAAAACAAAAAAAGAAAACAGAGTTCAGGGAGGGAGAAGGGGACACATGCAAGCAGGGAGCCATGTGCAGAGCTTGGCCTCCAGAAACGGGCCCTCCACCTCCTCGGCAAACTTGAAAACCACCACCACAGAGCATGAGTTATTGTGCTTAGAATTATTCAAAGGCCGGCTGTTATCCTGGAGTTTGCTGGATTAATTTATTTTTAAAAATTTTGCAGATGGACCTTTTTCATCTCTTTGATGACTTCACACATTATAATTAAACACATTTTGGTTGTGAGCACATTATCAAAGACATTAGAAGCAAAGAAGGGGGAGAATAAGAATTTTGCAAACTGTCGAAGATAAAAGTTGAGGGCCTTTATTTAGGATGCAATAATTAATGGTGTTTGAATTTTAGAGGGAAGTGTAGAGGCAGAGTAGTTGCTCATAGCTGAATGAGGTGTACAGGCATGAGCCATAACAGAAAGCCATTAATCTTTTTTTTAAAAAAAACATGTTTTAACTAACATTGGAATTCTTTCTGATACTCATCTCTCCATGTCCTTGATCTTAAAGTACAGATATGACACCTCTGTTGGCTGATATGTTATAGCTGATGTAGTAGTGACTGAGAATTACAGAGATCCTCAATTCTCATGGAAGATTGTGAAAGATATACTCCTGCAACACATTAAGACGGTGCTTCTCAAAGTGTGTCCCCAAACAAGCAGCATCCGCATCACCTGAGAATTTATCAAGGCAAATTCTCAGGCCCCATCCCAAACCTAGTGAGTCACAAACTCTGGGGGTGGGACCTGCAACCACGGTTTTCAGCAGCCCTCCAGGTCATTGTAATGTATGGGAATGTTTGAAGACTTGCTCCAGGAGGCCAAGAAGGTACACTGTATTTATGTCACTTCAAGCAGTTTGCTTGTTTTAGGGTATCTCTGCCAAAAGTGTCCTGAAGAAGACTGGTTCTTTGAAGGTCCTAGTTAGTTATACTTTTTCTGTGATTATTTAGAATTAATTAAATCAAATGGTTGCAGATTTTAGCTCCAAAATGGAATAGTTAATGGGTCACAGTGTTATCTCTTATAAAAATTTTAAATGACATTGGTTTCATTTCAGAAAAAAAGTATTTTATATTACTGAAATTATAATTTTGCCACTGTCCTTCATAAAGGAAACTGAATAAAATATGTACTGTTGACTGGGTGCAGTGGCTCACGCCTATAATCCCAGCACTTTGGGAGGCCAAGGAGTGTGGATCACTTGAGGTCAGGAGTTCAGGCCCAGCCTGGCCAACATTGTGAAACCGTCTTTACTAAAAATACAAAAATTAGCTGGGTGTGGTGGCACGCACCTGTAATCCTAGCTGCTTGAGAGGCTGAGGCAAGAGAATTGCCTGAACACGGGAGGCAGAGGTTGCAGTGAGCCAAGATGGTGCCACTGCACTCCAGCCTCGGTAATAGAGCGAGATTCCTCTCAAAAGCAAGCAAGCAAACAAAAATGTATATACACATATATATTTTTATATGTATTTATTGTAATGCTTAATACCTAATTATATATATTATATATTTATGCACACATATAGTCTAAAACATTTTTCTGCATTTCAGGTCCAAACTGCTTTGCAGAAACCGCTGTCATCCCTGCTGGCAGAGAAGTGAAGACGGACGAGTGCACCATATGCCACTGTACTTACGAGGAAGGCACATGGAGAATCGAGCGGCAGGCCATGTGCACAAGACATGAATGCAGGCAAATGTAGACCCTTCCCAGAACACAGACTCTGACTTTTTCTAGAACATTTTACTGACCAGAACATTCTAGATGACTCTGGGGAATATCAGTCAAAGGAGAGAAGACTTTAATGAGGAATAATGGAAAACTGTTGGTCCTTTTGCTTTTCTTGATAACAGTTACTACAACAGAAGGAAATGGATATATTTCAAAACATCAACGAGAACTTTGGGCATAAAATCCCTCTCTAAATAAATGTGCTATTTTCACAGTAAGTACACGAAAGTACACTATTATATATTAAATGTATTTCTATAATCCCTCCATTAGAGAGCTTATATAAGTGTTTTCTATAGATACAGATTAAAAATGCTGTGTTGTCAACCGTCCTCACTGTGTACCTGCATATCTTTTTCAGTTCTGATTCTATCACCCGGAAATGTATGTTCCCCCTGCACATTTTCACAGGGCAGAGTCACCCATGAATGGATCATAAGCTATTAGACCAAATTCCACTGAAACCCTGTCTAAATTCTATTTAATTACAGACATATATCTAATGTTGATCCTTAGAAAATTCAGTCTATTTCACATAAATATATTTCCTTTCTTCTTACAATAATATACTGCTTTTATCTGCTTCGTTCTCAGTCATTTGTGAAATGTAGGTGTAAAGATCACTAACTCACACTTTCTCAGTTCTTTCCCCTAAGCTCCTGTATCGTAGACCTTAGGTAAACACATATGTATTTCATTCTTATTTACATTACTTTCTCTTCTAAATATAATTTTAATTCATTTCCTAAATTGAGAAATATAGTAGGCTGGAAAATTTGCATTACTGTTCCATCAAGCTGAAGCAGGTAACAAAACAGGGGCGGAGTCCTTCGATTCTCCCAGGAGAGTCAAGGAAAATCGAACTCCTGAACAAATTTATATACTTGAAACCTAACTGTGCTACAGATATCTCAGCTCTCAGTTCACTGGAATCATATTTGTCATCAGAATGAGTCATCTATCCTCCATAAAGTACACAGTAAAATCCTGACTAATAATGTTGAATTAGCCACCCTTCACATGCAGAGTGAGAAAGTTCTTCTGTTAAAACAAATCTGAAGGCCAAGTGTACTGCACAACTTCCCTATAGTTATAATTCCAAACCAACTTCTTTTTTCTTCACTTGTACAGAGAACATAAAAAGCCACTGCCAAATCCTGCTAATCTAATCAATGCATATCAGAACATAGTTGTATCTTTATCAATCATATCAACATAGGATGTGTTGTGAAAGATGTAATCGGAGTCTTAATAGGTGTAGGATAAAAAAAGCAACACTATCATCACTATTCATGTCTCTAAAGGATTAAAATATACATAATCATTATTTGAAGCCTTTAAAGGGATTTTCAATATTTTTGTTTATTCTAAAATTTTGCATTAAGTACAAAGCACTTGTGACGGCAACAAGGGAATGAGGCTTGATTTCTTGCATTCTTGGACTTTTGGTCTCTGGCATAAGAAGTATAGGTAATTATAATGTATTGTGTTAGGAGCCAAACTAAGAGACCAGAAAATGGAGATTAGAGAGCCTTCCTAAAGAGAAGATAGAGAACACGAAAAAAATTATTATATAAAAAATTCAATCATTAAAGACTGAATATTTAAGAAAAATAGACACATCTATCATAATTGAAAAATTAAACTGTTGTGAAACTTAGTAAATATAAAGATTCCTCTGACTGAGTCATCAAAACATTTATATATAATCATTTAATTTTTATCTTGTTCGTAAAGAACATCTTGAGCCAAAGTCCCTTTGTACTAGTACATAGACTTCATGAAACTACTCAGGGGAATTATTAGCTAACTGCTCTCAGCTGTAATCAGCTTTCCAAAATGTAACCTTTATTATTAAAGACTGCTAGACATTGGCCATCCCGCCTTTATTCAAGGATGGATTGTTAGAGACAGTTAAAGTTGTCATTTTGCTAATAAATGACCCTAGCCCCCATGGGTAGGTGGCCATTAGTAACCTCTTTACTCTTTAATTTGCATGATGCAATTAAAGACTCCTCAGTCCATGTGGCTCAAAGACTTCCTGTTTCCCTTAATAATAATTCCTCACAGAATGGATAATAAGCTCTGAAATCATTGCAATGGTATTTTCAATGCTGTGAGAATTTCAAAAACCTCGTATTTTGTTGCATATAGAGAGAAAGAACGTAATATCATCTTGGGAAATTAACTGACTCGCTCTAAACTTAGTGTGACCTGCACGGTCATAGGCACATACTCCTAAGAGCTGAAGCTCAGTGGCTGTTACTACACCAGAGTAACTCCCTCTCGTTCTCTGATTTCAACCCTTCATTTCTCTTTCCTCATAGAAATACTACAAAAACCAACCCCATGGAAGAACTTGGATTGATGACACTGCACATACTCATTAATAATAATGGCATCATTTTCATTTTTGTTCAAGACCAACTTCTTCTTGCAGTTAGACTTTCACAACTGTACAGCTATCTCAGACATTCTATTTTCCTCTCTTCTGTTGTCAGAAAACTCTTTGCTGAGATTATCAACAACAAACCTGTTCTAGTGAATAAACATGATAACTTCAATAACTGTCAATTTCAAAATAATATGGTTTGGAGATAGCACAGAAAAGGGGGCCTCAGAATTCAAATATGGAAGTTCTGGAAAAGCCATAATCATTAAAATTCAAATAGGTCTGCTCCCTAAGTACCTAACAATTGTTAAATGATATATTCAAGTTAATAAACTGAAGCGTGCTTACAAATGTATTAATGAACTTATTTCAAAATTTTCAACCTATATTTAGATCTAAAAGTATAAAGCTACTCATGTAACCAGTACAATGGTTCTGGAAATTATCTGATGTCTTAGAGGTTTTCAAGTTAAATTAATTCCTTCAGTCACAGGATACTTACTTGTTGGGTGGATTGACATTTCCCAGAAGCCTTGAATCAAGTCAGTTCAAAAACTTATATTTCATCCTTGCATGCAACAAGCATTAGATGCACTTGAGCCTGGGCAAGCCCTGCTATAATACTGCAGCTACTGCAGATGGAGGGGCACTGTATCCTTGACATCAAGGGGTCTGTAAGCCTGGAAATTAATTTACATTTGACTGTATTACTTTTAATCTTTTGATACTTAGAATTTCATCAACTGCTTTGTGCAGTAAAACATGCTGAGAAGAATTCTCATACAGTTTTAAGTTTGTAACGTCATTAGAATGTCTAATAAACTATCCTCTCTACTTCTCCAACATAAATGTTACATGCATACAAGGCTAAAAAGTCCTAACAAATGAGAAAATTCAAATTTTTAATATTTGTTTTTACTTTAAGTGGTGAAATGGGTTTATAAGTGTACACATTATCTGAAACTTAACAAACGATACACTATTTCAAACAAGCATTGTTGGAAACTACATCCATTGAGTGTGGACTATTTAAACATATAATAAACAAAATTATAGACACAAAACTATGATTTTAAAAATATTAATGATTTGCTAAATTTGCTTCAATGGGCAAGAGACCAATCCTACTTTTCATTGTTCTTTTTAATATCATATTTTTCCCCAACACAATGTAATAAGAGTATTAGATGTGCAAATAAGCACCATTGATAAAAACATACATGCTTCTTTGGCCAACATAATTTGTGACTTTCTTACTGAACGTACTTACCTACTCTATTTCTTTTCCTCACTAGTAGTGTCTGTTGATGGTTGATACAATCAGTAACTATTCTGAAGAATTAGACAGAGAGAGAGCAATTTACTTATTCAGGAATAAGGGCATTTTCACAGTACATATTTTTCACATTCCAGCTGCCACCTCCAAAGCTCAGGTTCTCATCGCTCCGCAGCACAGATTAAACAGCCTACTTCTACCATATCCTCACTCCAAACTAACCTCTTTAGTCTACTATTTTAGTTTTCTAAATGTAGATCTAGTTTTCAACTGAATTCTTTATTTTGAGGATTGCAATCACACACAAAATAATATCCAAACTCCTCAGATGGAAGACTGGTGTCTTCACAGTTAGATCATGGACCACACCATGACCCAGGCCCCTGTGGCTGGTGAGACCTCTGGGCCCTGGGTACTGGAGACTATACTCTGAACATGGCCTCTACTATCCCAGATCCTGCTCTGAGTGTCCTCTGCAGCACGTTGAGATAATAGCCATTTTCAATGTCTAATTCAAGTGCCACTGCTGGTAAGAAGACTTCTGTAGTTCTCAGCTGGATGAATCGTCACTCTATGTCCCAGTAATAGGGTTAATTTTGTTTCTTATTTTAACATATAATTTAGAAATCGTACCATATTTTGAATAATAGTTAATGTTATGCTTGCTGCTTCTATTATATACAAATCCCTTTAATTCAGACTGTGAGACATTCAATCCTGAAAACCACCCAATATCTTTACATTAAAGGCTTGTTGAGTTATATTCAATCTATTAGTTCAGAGTTATTTACCATTCTTGTTTAAGGACAATGTATATATTAAAGAGCAACTAAAAGCTCCCATTACTGTTTGCCATCCCAGTTGTCTTTGGATTTCTCTGTTAACTTGCAAGTATCAAATATCTAAGTCACAGACCCTGAGACACACCAAATACCCCATGGTGGTTTTAGGATGACGTCTGACAGCTGTTGGCCATTTCTGATACAAGTCAGAAAAAAAATTACCTTTGGTGTGAAATTTCTGATGCTGAAGAAAGTTTCTTGTACTGAAGACACATTGGCCTTTTATGATAAAGAAGACAAGTTTACAGTTTTGATATTTATTTACTTTCTTATTTCTAATTTTTGAAAAACGATTTTCTTAGACTGTGGTATTAAATATTTCTGCATGTTTTAATCTTTCTATATAACATTATTAAACACCTCAATAGGTATCTAGTGAACTGACAAAATAATGAGCTCAGTCATTTGTACAGAAATGTAGTAGCTTCCATAACCTGAATGATAACTGTTTAAAAGTGATGGTTGTCTATATTTTACAACAGTGTCAAATTTCACTCTAAATTTTGCAAAGCACCTGCTATTCAAGCCTTAACACACAAATTTAGAAACTAATTCCAATGCCTAATTTTTAAATGAATAAATTTCATTGACTATTAAGTAACACTGACAATCACCCTGAAAAGTATTCAGCCAAAGTTTCAATAGAATTAGGAAACGTAAATGAAAATGGGCTCTCAGTGCTTGGCCTATGAGTAGTTTATGATTTAAAACATGCATACTGTTTAACTCCTTCCTTTAAAGTTCAGAAAAGTACATAAAGCCTCTGACTGACTTATTATATAGGCACAGAATTACCAAAAGCAATCAAAATATATACCTAAAGTCAATTTAGTATATTATGAATACAGCCTGAAGACTAAAAACTATTGCAAATATTGCTACTTTAGTTTTTAATTCAATTTTCAGTAAGTAGAAATATTTCTCAATTTTATTTAGTATCTAATTGTATTAAGATCAATGCATACATTAAAGTACATTTATATGATTAACATTTAATGATAATTATTTTACTTAATGATTAATATTTTCTATTATTTGAATTTTTGTAATTTGTGTTTTAAAAGGAACTGTTTCCAAACTCATTTTAGGGAAAGATTTCATTTTTCCATTCCCTTTACTTTCATATATGCATTGTCAAATAAATACAATTCTATTTTTATTTCTATTAAAGTTCAGGGTTTATTATTTTCCTAAGCATATAATTCTTATTATAATGGAAAAAAAGTGTCAAGTATCCAGTAATATAAACCTATGAAACTATTAATGTTCTTTCTGTTACCAAGTAGTTTCATAGTTTTAAAAAGCCATTCTTAATCAATGAATGTATGTCATTGGCCAAAAGTTATGCTACGTTTCCTTCACTTACTATCACATTTCACCTCACAATTCTCCCAAATAGTGGGCAATGCTATCACCTTTGCTGCAGAAAAGTAAATATAGGCTCAGGGAAATTTAAAAACTGCCTTAAGATTCAGTCTAGTGAGTGAGGGGTTGAGTTAAGAATCCAAATCTGCTTTAAACCAGAGCTTATGATTTGAAGTCTTACCATTTGTGTTTAGGCCAGGGGACTTCTAGAAATTAGACAGAAAGTTCCAAAATGGTCTTTCACCCCACCACCCATAAATAAGATGATGAATAGCAACAGAGATCCCTAATTCTAGAATGCTAAACGTGATACTTGTCAAAGTAAATAGCAGCTCCTCACGAAAATGTTGTGACTTCCCTACTTTAAATGCTTATTCTATATTTTGATTCCTAAATCTACTCTTTATGAAAATAGTAGTTAAGCATCAGGTTGTTTAGATATGATTGTCACATTGAAATTTACAAAATATAACCAAATATTGTGACCCAATTTTTCTGGAGCCAGGAGAATTAAATTGCTATTTATTAGGTGATGATTACATGACACACTACAATTTCAAATTCTGAATTATTTTATCTGATTTCTTCATTTTATCAACTCTGTTGTATTGATGAGGAAGTCAACATATGGTGGGTAACTTACCCAAATTTCACTGATGGGCTGTGTGCGGTGGCTCAATCCTATAATCCCAGCCCTTTGGGAGGCCAAGGCAGGTAGAAATCACTTGAGGTCAGGAGTTGGAGGCCAGCCTGATCAACATGATGAAACTGCCATCTCTACTAAAAATACAAAAAAAAAAAAAAAATTATCTGGGCATGGTGGCGCATGCCTGTAATCTTGATTACTTGGGAGGCTGAGGCAGGAGAATCCCTTAAACCCAGGAGGTAGAGGTTACATGAGATTGCACCACTGCATTCCAGCCTGATTGACAGAGTGTGACAATGTCTCAAAAAAAAAAAAAAAAAAATCAGTGATGGAACTGAGGCCAAATTTGTCTGGTTCCAAAGCTGTCCTGCATCGGGCAGAGTCAGGACTGGAATGGATACCTCTACCTGCTTCCAAATATTCTTCCCTGGAGAGCAGCTATGATTGTTACTTAATCTATTTATTGATTGCATTCTACATGTCAAATGCAGTTTAGGCCTGGGTGATAAAGCCATATATGGTCTTTGGGCCCACGAAGCTCTGAGTCAAATATACCAGCAGATATCCTTAAACCAATAAAAAAAGTGATGGCATCACATGTCATTTTGAACTTTTACATTAAAGTCATTAACTTACATCAGTATTGTGATTTATACTTTTAAGTGAAGTTTTGCTGTTTCCTGATTCATAGTAGCTAGTTATAAAATTATGAAGTTACTATTGTATGTTCTAATGACATAAAAAACTAAGTGCCTGCTCCAGCTAGTTATCTTCTCCAATATACCCTGTACACATATTTTTTATTTAATCTTCACAAACCTCACTTTAATTTAATATAGATTAATTATAAAATGATCTACCCATGTTACATAATGTTAAACCTGTAGTTTCAAAGTGTATGCTATTTCTTAAAAACAAAGATTGTCCCCACTCCAAACAATAACAGCAATGGTGAAGGTCGTGGGTGGACAGAGGTGGTCCCACCTGACCCCAGGGGGCTCAGCCGCCAGTGGCCGTGTCTATCCACTGCTCCCACCCCCACCCTATTTTCTCTCAAGAGAAAGATTTTCATTTTAAGATAGGCATGAGTGCAATAAAGGAGCTTGATACAAAATCATTATGTTCTATATATCTTTTTGTAGGTTGTAGATTAATTATGGCCAGTTGATACCTTAAAAAATGTCTGTTACAAATAGCAACACGGAAGTGAGATTCACTTCCGTGAGTAGAGGGCAAATGTGCCCTCTATTGAAGCTAAGAAAGTAAATGTCTTTAAAATAAACATGGATTTTTTTTTTTTAGTACAATAAACAACATACCTACACTTCAGAGGACAAATCATGTTATATAATGACCAGGAGGAAAAGTAAAAGGAGATATTAATTTGGATGTAGAAGCAAAATGGAAATGTTGACATTTAGGGTAGAGCAAAACTGAGGTTTGTCTGAAACATTTAAAATATTAAGAACTATGACTTAAAAATTCAAAAATTTTAAGACATGATGAATCTCTTAAGAAAAAAAGAAAAATAATGAAAATGGTATTTGGATGAGATACTTTTCCTTTAAATTTATTCATCAGAATTACGTAAATTTTCCAGCTGGCAGCTCATCTTTCTGTACATGCATGCATCTATACAAACGGTTGAACAGTCCCTCTCTCAATTCGCTGCGATCGGAAAGCTAGATATAAATATAAGCAAGGGTCTGATTAAAAGAAAACAAAGCAAACAAAAGACAAGAGAAGCAATGCATTGTTGGCCAGAAATTCCTTTTAAGTCAGGTAATCACAGAAAGTTGGAGCTTAGCAGTGAAGAGTGTAGGGGAATGAGGAGAGACTCTGCTTGGCCGAGTTTGCTATTCTCATTTGTCTATGTCAGTACAGCTACATAAAGTCCACAGCTATTTGCATATAGCTATAAATATAGCATGCATAATATACATACATATACACATATGTATTTAATTGCGTTTACTATTTATAATTTGAATTAATTTTTAAAATAACTTCAAATACTTCTTCCATAAACTCAGTATTTGAAAACTTAAAAAAAAAGTCATTTTAAATAATATTATTTATCAAGTCTGTGTGATGCTTTACAAGGTACCCGATGAATGTAAAATTATAGTTTTTTGTCTTCATTTTAATAGGCTATTGTAGGGAAAATGTACTGTACTTACTACCCTTACAAATTTCAGACAGTTTCTATAGACTGAGAACAGTGTTATGTTTTTATAAATTATTAGGTGAAAGTTTTCCAGCAAGTGTTCATGTCCTGTACAAACTTATTAAACATCAATTTCATACAACTGTAACCATTAATAAATCATCAGTTACCACTTTTCCTGCATATCTGACAGATGGAGAACACTGTGCTTAGTGTTGAAGATACCAAAGGGAACTCAAGTGAGGGGAAAAGAGGAGAGCAAACTGATCAAAAGGGAATGCCCATGATGCTTTCAGGAATCAAGGGTGAGAACATGCTGGCTGGAGGATGGGTCTGGTTTCCAGCAGAGATGATAGGAGTTAAATGGCATAGGTGAGTTGTTCCCATCCCTGGCCTGAGCCTTACTCCATAGGTATAGAAACACAGTCTCTAGAAACAAAGGCCAGAGCATCCTTTAACTTTTATATCCTAAGTATTCTCAGTAAATGTTTGCAATTTATTTGCTTTAATGTAACTTGCCAGTAAAGACTTTGGCCTTTGGAGGTCTGTTTCTAATTCCAGTTCTACCAGTTACTGGTTATTTATCAGGTACAGGTTACCTACCTCTCTGTAATTCAGATCGCTCATCGGTAACATGGGGAGAGTGGTATCAACCACTAAGAGGATGAAATGAGTGAATATTTGTAAAACACATAGCCTAGAATAGATAAATATTTATAAAGCACAGGTCTATTCAAAGTGTTTATAACATAATACATTGGAAATACGAGACTATTGAAATTAAAACATTTTGAAGATTCTAATAAATGAATAATTCAGTGCTCATTTGAAAAATATTCTATCTTCATGTTTAAATTTAACATATATAATTTATATATTAGTTTTTATCCCATTTATATATATACCAGAAAAATGTTTTGTAATACCTTAATTTTATGTGGAGCTGAATTTAAATAATTAGGCCTAATTTGTATGTATTGTTGGATGGGTATGTGTATTGAACTGATTTATAAAATAAAGTATTTATTAAACTGA